GTTTTTTTGTTCTCGTCTTTCGTTTTTGATTAGTAGTTCTTTGGTTTCTTTTTTTCGTCCTTCCTTCGTATTTTAGAAGTCTGTTTTTTTTTTTTTTTTAAGTTGACATTATTTGTTTGCCTCCCTTCGTTTTCGGATTTGCGCGTTTCTGTGTTTGGCTTTGCATCTTCATTGATCGCGGGTGCCTTTATCCAACCCTGACCCCCTCCCCCCCTCCCCCCCTCCCCGCCCTTCACTCTCTCTTTCTTACAACAGCGCAGCAAGCAGCAGCAGCAGCAGCAGCAGCAGCAGAAGAAGAAGAAGAAGAAGAAGAAGAAGAAGAAGAAGAAGGAGAGTAGTGGTAAACGGAAGCCAAATACCGTCTTTCGGCGTCGATAAAATTTCCCCTACTAGGCTCTCATCAGGGCCCTTCTCCCCGGATCCGCATGCACTAGGCTCAGAAGAAGAAACGAGCTCATTGCCCTACGCACGTTTCAGCCCGGAAGCGCACCTGGCACTCATCAGGCATCAGGGGCCTTCTCCCCGGATCCGCCTTACGGCAAAGAAGAAGAAGAAGAAGAAGAAGAAGAAAGAAGAGGAAGAATGAAGATGGGAGGAGGGGAAGAAGAAGAAGAAGAAGAAGAAGAAGAAGAAGAAGAAGAAGAAGGAGGAGGAGGAGGAGGAGGAGGAGGAGCAGGTTGTGCGTGCCAGAAGAAGAAGAAGAAGAAGAAGAAGAAGAAGAAGAAGAAGAAGAAGAAAGAAGAAAGAAGAGGAAGAATGAAGATGGGAGGAGGAGGAGAAGAAGAAGAAGTAGAAGAAGAAGAAGAAGAAGAAGAAGAAGAAGAAGAAGAAGAAGAAGAAGAAGGAGGAGGAGGAGGAGGAGGAGGTTGTGCGTGCCAGAGGAACAGATGAGAAGCGATTTCGAGGGGGGAAGCAGGAGTGACAGGAGAGTGGAGAAGGAGCGTGTCCTGTGCAGTCAGAGCCACTGAAGACAAGGGTTTTCTTGAATGTAGGATCTGAGCCTACGATTTCGAGGCGGGGGCAGACTTTGACTGAGTGGTAAATAGGTCCCCCACTGAAAGGTGAAATTAAGAGAAAAATATAGCGTAGTTTGTTTTCTTAAATATAAAAAAATAATGCAAGTTGAAGTAATTAAATAAATACGTCCCCCACATTAAAAAGAAAAAGAAGAAATCGTCCCCAGACTCTTTACAGATCCATGTATGAACCTACCGTCTTTCCCCCGAACACAACGCACCCCCCCGATTATTAATGTATACAAGCTATCTTTCCAGTCCGATACGGTCGTGATGAGGGTGCGTTATATTCGGGGAAAGACGATAGTTGGGTGCATGGAAACCATTTTTTTTTGTCCAAAAAAAAATTGGAAACAAACATGGTGTTTCCTTTGGGACCCCCTCTGCTCAGATTGGAGAAGAGAAGATTAGCATGGTGGCTGGCCGCGGCGCGAGGATGACATGCACAAATCGAGAAATTAATAAATTATCCATTTATATTTGAAAAAAGAAAAAAGAAACAAATGTGGGGGGAAATTGTGATTGCAGGCTCTGCTTCTTCTTCTTCTTCTTCTTCTTCTTCTTTTTCTTCTTTTTTTTTTTTTTTTTTTTTTTTTTTTTGAAATCTTTTTTTTTTTTTTTGATCGGTCTTGTGGCTTTGGCATCTCTCTGCAGGCAATTTTGCACTGGGGAGTTCAGGTGGGTGAAACCACCTTTACTACCTTTCTCACTGTTGGGGGAAAAATGGAATATACTTCAGTAATAAATCCTATACCGGCGCGCAGTGAAATTCAGGTGCAGTATTAAAATTAAAATAAAATAAAAAATCAGGTTTGGAAAAACTCGGCGCGCAGTGAATTCAGGTTCGGCAAAAAAAAACAGGCTCGCAGGTAGTGGCGAGATAACTGCCAGATCCCCCAAAAAAAAGAAAAAAAAAAGAAAAAAAAGAAAAGAAAAAGAAAAAAAAAGAAAAAAAAACGGAAAAAAAAGAAAAAAGAAAAAGAAAAGGTGGCATCTGCTTGTCTTCTTAGGGCCCGAAACCCCCTCCTCCAAATTCTCAGCCATGCCAACCCCATAGCAAGAACTGGGGGTCAGCAGATCTTCCTGTGAGCACAGCAACGGTCCGATCTTTTTCTACCTACCCTTCTTCCCCCGAATACAACGTACGGTCATTATTGCTGTATTTAGACTGAAAAGATGCCCCAAAATACAACTATATAATAGATAGGCCTACCCAGTTCCATAGATAGGGCTGACCGTACGTTGTATTCGGGGGAAGAAGGGTAGGCCTATTTTATGGTTATCCCCTGAATATAATAGAACTATAAACGCATACCCTTCTTCCCCCTGTCCAATCTTTCTCCTCGTTTTTCAAAACGTGACGGCCTTGAGATCTCATTATTTGTCATAATCGATCCGACCCGCCCTACGGGTAGGTCATTCAGAATCGTATTTTATATTTATTTAATTTATTTTACTCATCTGCTGCTTCCAGTGGAGTTCGAACTCAGGACCTGGTCGTGTTTCAGCAAAAAAAAAAATAAAATAAAAAAAAAATCAACAACAACAAAAAAAAAGGAACTCAGGACCTGGTCTGTGTTTCAGCAACAGTTCAGTTCAGTTCAGGGGGGTGTGTACCGTTTGAGCTTTGGTAGGCCAGTTGGTTGTGCAATCTTTCTAGCCCTATGGCTATCCCCCTGGACAGAACGGATGGGCATATACCGACCGTATAAGGCCGATGTCCTGACCAGATTCATCAGCGAACAATGCCTGCACGTTCCTGACCAGATTCATCAGCAAACAATGTGTTCCTGACCAGATTCATCAGCAAACAATGTGTTCCTGACCAGATTCATCAGCAAACAATGCCTGCACGTTGGCCTTAGGAGGAGACTTCA